ATTTTTCCTCTGCCTTCCATCTTTCCATCGGCTCATAAAAATATTATTTTTTATGAGCCAGCATGTTTAGTGTAAACCAGTTTAGTTCAGCCCTTGTCCGCGTATGCGATGGTCGAAAAAAACAAGGAAGTCCAAATGACAAATGACTTGAGTATGAGAAATGATAAATAATGAGAAAGGACTAGATGATTATAGGCATTTAGTCGTTGTAATGTCTCTTAGACATTTCCGTTGAAGAAATTAAAATAAAAAAATTAATCCTATTCGTCGGTTCTGCGCTACTCATCTTCATTTCCCCTTGAAAGAGCTTCATCTGCAGGCTGCTCCATTCCCGGAATCCCTTTGATTTCACGCGGCACCTCGGTTGCTTCGAAACGATTAAGAATCTTATCCGGTCGATCGGATTCCTTTGAACCCTTCACGGTTTTCCGCCTGCGAAGAGGGGAATATAATCGGGATTGGATCAGATTCCGCAGAAAAAATACCGAGAACGAGTTCCTCGTTGAAATCCGAGACAGAATCGAAAATTTTTCTTTCGCGGAAACCTTTCAGATCTGAGTTAAGGCCACTATCGAAATAATATTCTTTTTTTGCATTTTGAGCTCTTTCGCTATTGCAATTTAAATTTTTATATTTTGTATAAATTTCCCATATCATACATGTAATTAGATAACTGAAGATTACAAAACTGATGGGTGAAAGAAGGCCTCCGATGGAATTGAATCATGCATAATTTCGCTCATTGTAGTGTAATATGGGGCGCAAAGTCACGAAAATCTTAAGAAATTACCATAGGCACAATAAACATGCAATGTCCGTTGGACTGGACGCCAGGTCTGAAAGGGTTGAAGTCCTCTTTGCCATCAACGAAGTTTTAATGAGGGAACTTAAAAGGGGGGATATTTCGAAGTTTAATTAATTCACCCCCGCATAGATACGAGGGTCACTCAAAAAGTTTGCCCCTAATTTTTTTTTCTAATAAAAATATTTATTGGAAAAAGCTGAAAATTGGTATGAGTATATTGCATATATTGTTAACACACAATATTTTTCTACATAATCTACGTTCTTATCTATAGCTTTATGCCACCTAGAAACAAGAGCTAGTATTCCATGTCGGTAGAAATGTTCTCCGGTCTCTCGGAGCCGTTTTTTCCCTTCAGCAACAACTTCGTCATCATCCTTAAACTTTCGTCCACGAATGCCACCTTTCCGTGGACCAAAAAGATGAAAGTCCGAAGGAGATAGATCCGGGCTGTATGATGGATGGAGCAATACAGTTGAGCCCAGTTTTATGATAGCTTCTTTTGTCTGTAAACTGGTTTGCGGACTTGCGTTGTCGGGAAGAAGGGTCTTAGGAAGAAGGGTTCCATGCCTTTTTCTGATCGAACTGGTATCTGGTCGAACAAAGGACAAACCATACATCCTACATCGCTATCTTGAAGACACTCAAGAGCCGGTTACAGCGAGTCCGACCAGGAAAATGCGTGGAAGATGTCCCTTCTCCTGCACGACAACGCAAGATCGCACACCAGACAAGGGAAGCAATCACAAAACTGGACTGGACTGTGTTGCCCCATCCACCATACAGCCCGGATCTCGTTCCTTCGGACTTTCATCTTTTTGGTCCACTGAAGGGTGCCATTCTTGGACGAAAGTTTAAGGATGGTAACGAAGTTGTTGCTGAAGTGAAAAAACGGCTCCGAGAGACCGGAGAGAATTTCTACCGACATCGAATACTAGCTCTTGTTTCTAGGTGGCGTAAAGCTATAGATAAGGATGTAGATAATGTAGAAAAATAGTGTGTTAACAATATATGCAAGAATACTCATACCAATTTTCAGCTTTTTCCAATAAATATTTTTTTATACAAAAAAATTTGGGGCAAAACTTTTTGAGTGACCCTCGTATGTACGATAATCATATAATTAAATTAAAGATCACATTTTGGCCTGTCCTAGCTTCCGATCGCGCAGATTCGGCTTCTCAGGCGCAGTTTTTAAGCTGCTCTTTGTAATAATAGTATGCAAAATAATATAATGTAATAATGATATTATGCAAATTGTCTCAAATACCTAATTTAGGCGTTAAATTCGCCTTCACTGTGACTATGAGTTGATCGCTGATGCCACTTTGGCTTTGACGACCGCTTTCAAAGTAATTCTCATATTTATATTTTAACTTATTCGATAGTCATATAATTTAATAAATAATAATAATTCAATGTTTTAGTAATAAAACTACATTCCTTGACCAAAAATATCCCTTATTATGGCACCAGGTTATTATTGCTCATTTTTAATTTTTTGCCTTTTCGAAATATGAACTTCGTAGGATCCCGACTTTCCGTAAATGACTCGATAATTTGGCCTCAGTGTCTAGATAAATTGGCCTCAATGTCTAAGCGATGCTCAGAGGCTTCGCTTTTTGAGCCCGACAAAATTGCGATGCGATTGAGTAATCAGCGAAAATCCTTAACTCTCGCGCGTGAAAGCGGATCGGGTCAACTGAGTTTATTGGAAAGTCATTTAATAAAGGTAATAATAATAATTAAATAATTAAAAAAAACCACGGGAGAAAGTCGGCACTGCCGTCAGAGGAATCCGGCTTTTCCCTCTACATCAACGATTATTCCTCAATCGAAGGCGCTTCACATATTTAACGCCACACGAAGCCAGACCGCGGACACCACAAAATATGCAAAGACACGAGAGAAAAGCGAGTCAAGGCCATTAACATCCCATAACTCTCTAAGGACGATTACATAAGAGACCAATGGAATGAGGAAGGCGGAGGAGGAGGAAGGCTCCGATGCCTTCCTCCGGGGAAGTGCCTCCCCGGAGCGCATCTCTCCTTAAATGATTCATTCCTCATTTCTTATTTTCTCGTAACTGCATTATGAAAATCGGTTCCCGAATAATTTCTCGTGTCGGTCTCCCGCGGGTTTCGCGGGTCTTTTGTTTCGCCCACTGCGGTCGTCATGCTCGCCGGGAAGCTCATCGCGGTTCTTCACTTCACGCTGAATATCGGTCTAGTGCTAAAAAGACTAATTTGCTTAACTTAATTTGCTGAACTATTTCTTCCCGAGCCCCATGTGAAGTTTGCTTAACGATGGTTAATTTTTAACTTAAGCAAGCGGGAGAGTTTAAACCGGTTTTGGACTCTTTGCATCCTAGGATTTCAAATTCAATTTTTATTTGAAATCGTACAACAATTGCAATTTTATTTTTTTTTTAAATAGTGCGGAAGCGAAAGGGAAAAATACGGACGGGCTCGCCTCGATGCCTCCGCGGTCTCGAGTACCGAAGCAGGACGTCAAGTACCGAACCGATATGGATATGCAAAACACGCCGACGTGACTCGCACGGAAACGTGACTTGCACGAATCGTTCCCCACAGCCGCGTTCCCAGTTGAAAGCCTTTGCGAAAGCAAATTGGAGGAATTTTTTAATGCCCCGAAGCAAATATCCGTGCAAGTCATGCGTGTTAAAAATCTGCCACAAACGATACGCGATCCTTTTCCCGCTTTTTAGACGCATCAAAAGTAAATTGCATGGTTTATAGGAAAAAAAAAACATTCCCGACGAATGAGCTAATAATGAAGTCAGCCAAGGAGTCGTCGAATTTTGGCGTGTTAAGCATTCAAGTAGGGACGTTCAGAAAGTACTGAAACGCTCTTCCAACTAAAAATGCAATTTCCCCCTGAGAAATAAGAATAATTAAGCAATTTGGACGAACTACCTATTTAAAAACGTCCAAAATGCAGAATAAATGTCGGAAATCCTTTTTTTGCCGAAAATATTTTTAAAAATGTCTTTGATTGTGACTGGAAAATTTTCAACGTGTTAGTCGATGATGGACAGATAATATTATTATTATATTATATTATATTGTATTATTACGGCGCTACGGGTCACCTAGTCCGTCGTGTCCCGTATTAACCCCGCGGGATCAAAATCCTATACATCGATTTGTTTGCGCGCCTTCCGCCCGCGGGGCACTGTGCGTCAGCCTCGGCGAACCTTCCTCGGCTGAGCGCCGGTGTCGGAAGTCCGGGAACGTCGCGGGCACGGGTGGAAACAAGATCGGCGGAAACTCTAGAGACGATGCAATCGACATGTATTTCGGTAGCAGGCTGGAACGCGTTACGAGGTCGGTACACAATCTGCTCGTCGTCCCGACCCGCTTAGCTTCAACCCGCAATCGTGGGAAATTAAGGTGGGGGGAGGGGGGGGGGCTGTCGATCCCATTCCAGGGAATTACGTCTTCCGCTCGCGGAGCGTATACCGTCTGTACCTACCTCTCGGATAGGCTGCCTGGGCTTCGTTTCTGTCGGGGCGTGAAAACCTGGAAGGTGATGAACAAGAAACTGGTCTGCTTTTCCTCTCCAGAAGATGTTCCATTTGAACATCAATCACAAATTAGGCCTCAGATGTTTCCCCCTGATCCAGAAGTGGCTGATCAATACCATTTGGAGAGATGGTGAGGATAACTGTTATTGATTTTTAGATTTCCTCTCTCCATTATGGTCTCTGTTCTCCTTTCACTTGGTCTTTTTCCTTTCTTCCCCATACAATATTTTTCATTACTGACATGAGACAAGTGGCATAAGTGCATGGGAATCCTTGATAATTTCAGCACTTAAGCAATAAGAGGATTTTTGGGCAATTAGAGGTTTTAAGAAAACATCATGTTAATTAGAAGCACTTTGCAAATAGAGACAAACCAATCATTCTGTCTTGCTGCTTATGACAACATGTATTCAAGATAATTCTGCTTCTTCCAGCCACTATACACAATCAAGTTCAGGGTGGAAAAAAGTCAAGTGCCAGTGACTCGGGATTTTCATTCATATTTGGCATATCTTGATGAGAGAGTCATACATAAAAATTCATAATTGACCACATCAACCTAAATGTGAATTGTCATTCCATTCTATATTAATACTCCAGAAAGCCAAAACTGTGGAACTCTCAGTCTTCCAAACAAGCTTTACAAAAATGTAGTTTGGCATCTTCTTGTGTAGAGGTCCTCATTTATATCCTTGTAAAGCTCAATGCTGTCACCTGTAACCTGAGGATTGTTTGGACAAGGTTTGTTATGGCTAAAATTAATAACTAATCAAGTAATTGAAACTGTCTGCACAGTTGGTGATTATGTATCAGATTGCAACCCTGCATCAAATCCCTTGCTGCTGTTAACATGTCTAATACATGTTGCATTGACTTTTATTTTTGTAGCTACTGGTTTACTTCAAGTACTTCCCACATTTTCTTATTTTTTTAATGATATTTTAGTCCAGCACATTTATTGTCATGGTGGACAAATGTGGATAGATCCAAAAGCAAATTTTATTTGAAATAGAAAGCCCCACAGCATCACCATTATGAAATTTTCCAAAGTAAAAATATATTGAATTGGCAATCTTTTGAGTCATATATAATTGAAATCAGATGTATACTTCCTGAGTAATAAGCTTTTACTTTTGGGGAGACAATTGTGGACCACCTTGTACATCATGTTCTAGAAAAATATTTTCCAGTAGGTACTAAGACTGGCATATTGCTTGAGTGAGTACTAACATTTTGAATATTCTACATTGTGGTTTCTTTCTAGTTTACGGATCCTACCTCACCATCAAGATACAGGTGGATTTTTTGTGGCAGTTTTGAAGAAACTGGCTCCATGGTCATCAGCAGAAGCTGTGCAGAGGGATGAAACAAAAACTGCAGAAGGTGAAAATGACATCCAGGCATCAGCTTCTCCACCCAAGAAGAAGAAAAGATTCTATGGATACAAGGAAGACCCATTCATCTACTTTGAAAAGGGGGAGCCAGTCTGGAAGGAACAGATACAGTAAGTGGATTTTGCCTGCTCTCAGGAACATCTTGGAGAATAGGATACCAAAGGCTCTCATTTCTCAAAAATAAAAATCCACATAAATCTATGATCTGCTTGTGGTGTTGTGGCTATAACAGTTTTGCTCTCATCAAAAAGTTTTCATATCCATCCTAGATGCGGCTGAAGTATAATCATCTTGAAGTTGAATTCATCAATTGGTGAAATTTAATCGTAACTCCTTTAAATCCTAACTCATTTTCATGCTGACAACAGCATTTAAGCTGTTTTTTAGTCTTGTGAAAAAAGAACATAAAGTCTCACTTTGTCATCCTATGCACTTTTTACTTATTGACTATTGGGTCGATCGGAAAGTTCTGGCCATTTCGAGAACATTCCATACAGCTTAGTTTTTTAAAAAAGCAAAAAAGTTCATTCAACAAAGTAATCACCATCACACTCAATCACCTTCTGCCAATGATCAGGCAGACTCCTGATTCCATCCCTGTAGAACTGAGCTGGCTGTGAGTCGAAAAAATCAGTCAGCCAGTTTTTGACCTCAGCATCATCGTTGAACCTTTTCTGGTGAAGATGGTTGTCCAGAGCAAGGAAGAGATGGTAGTCAGTTGGCACCAGATCTGGGCTATACAGAGGGCTATACAGAGGTGAAGAAGAATCTCCCAGCCCAGATCCAGCAGTTTCTGCCTTGCGATTTTTGCGACATGCAGCTTTGCGTTGTTGTGCAGGAATCAAACATGACTGTGCCCTGGCCTCGCTGTGCTGAGTTTGTCGGCGAGCTTCTGCAGCCAATCACAGTAGTAGGCAGCAGTGATGCTGGTATCGGGTGGGAGCAGCTCGAAGTAGATCATGCTTTGCATGTCCCACCAATTGCACAACGTGACTTTTCGGGGGTGCAGGTCACCTTTCGGCTCCAGCTCTGGCTGGGCATCAGCATTGACCCACTTGCGCCTGCGTCAGTAGTTGACATACAGCATCCGCTTTTCATCTCCAGTGACTACGGAATCCAGCCAATCGTTTGTGTGCTTGTATGACAGCAGCAAAGTGCACACCTCAGCACGGCATTCGCGGTTGCAGTTGGTCAGATCGTGGGGTACCCACTGACCCATTTTGCTCTTCTTGCCAATTGCAGCCAGGTGCATCACGATTGTGGACTGGGTGCAGTCAAGTGCTGTCGCTAAGCCGCAGGTACTTTGCCTCAGATCAGCTTCCACTGTGTGCTGCAACTGCTCATCATTGATTTCAGATGGGCAGCCTACCCTGGGCTCATCCTTGAGGCTGTAATTTCCAGACTGGAAACAACTTTTTTTTTCTGGAAAATTCTCGAAACAGCCAGAACTTTCCAATTGACTTTGTTTCTGGAGTATTTTCAGGATATGGTTCTGGTACTTCTTGCATTATTGTTATTTCATGGATGAAGAGATTAATAGATCCCTGAAGGGATTAAGTACTCCCTCTAAAGAAAAACATCTATCAGAAGTGGGAAGACTCTAGACCAAGTACATTTCAGCATCTATAGCAGATGGGTAAAAGTGACATGGTTTGAATGGAACTTTCTTTTGGGAATCTTTGAGGGATTTCAGTGAAAGAAATAAGATCACAAGGTTTTCATCTCAGGCAATGTGTACCTTCCAAGCACAAGCAAAGAATAGTACAGATCAAGTGTTGCCAGTCCCAATCAAGAGTGCAAGTGTTATATTCCTAGAGTCTGACTATCTTGCACAACTTTAGGGATTGTTCCCATTGAGTGGTCATGTCCTTTCCACTTAAACTCTTTTAAAACATAGTGAATGATGAATAATTACCATCTGGGACTTCATGAATGTTTGCAGGAAATTCTATGGCATTAAGGATTCATTTGATGAGACTCTACTCCTGGTTCGAACACGAGAAGGGAAGAAGAGAAATGTATATCTCACTACAGCTGCAGTAAAGGAGCTGGTGACTGACAATGAAGACAAGATCAAGGTATGTCATTTACACTCATTACCATTATTTGGTTTCAGGGTGAACTCATCTCCATTCAGAAGGACTTCTCAGTTTAACACAGCACTGACATAAAATCATGGCTGGTGGTTATATCAGAATTAGAGTGCAAATTTTGATGCCGAATTCTTAATTTGTCTACTTTAACAATGGCACCTGCCTGATTCATGTAGAATTTGAGCCAATAAAATGGAAAGAGATCTATATGGAGTAGAGTCCCCAAGCTATACAGAGTTGGATGTTCCTGGAGCTTGCCGACACTGTAGGGGAAGGAAGACCCAACTCTGGACTAGGCATTGTTTTTCTATGAGAAGCACTACTCCAGAGTTGAGTCTTTCCTCCATTTGATAAAGGTCAGGCTCCAAAAGTGTTGGGCTGTAATTGTAGTTACATCATGGTTTTCAATCAAAATTGATAGTAAACATCAGGAGTCAGTATGATATTAAAAATGTTCTTAGTTTTGGTTAGAATATAATTAAGATGTTGTTGCACCAAACACTAGAATATCTATGAAATGAAATTGGGAGGAGGATATAGACTTGTGAGCTATTATATTTAATTTATTCCATGTCCTGCTTGGCGAAATCTGCAGATCATCAGCACAGGAGTGAAAGTTTTTGTACGCTGTGATAGCAAAAACTCACCATCTGGTTTCAGATTGGCACAAGAAGTGAGTGTTTCCCCTTTTAAATTCATAACTCATGAGTCAGAGTGCATTGATGTTCTTTTTCTTTTTATGGACCCTCACCCTTTGTCTTTCATTAAAATTGGCAATTAAGAGCAATTACTTTTGAGAAGGTATACAGATACATCCCATGATAAGAATGCTCTAGTATCTGATGTCCTACCTGTAGTCCACCCTCATATTAGATGCTTAGATTTGAAGGGTAGCCCAATGATGCTTGAGCAAACTTGTTCTGCATTTGTTCTTGGCATTATGCTTAGCTATAATCTTTTAACAGTTAATACTTTCAAATGATGAATCAGATTGTGTAGCATCTTGCCAATTCTGAACCTTGTAGGTTTAAAATGCATAATTTCCTTTAGTTTCATCTAAAGTCTCTTTTTGAGACAAAGCTATTGTAACACCCTTGCTTCTTTCTCATCAGGGAGCTTATGTTGTGGGCCCCTTTCTACATGACCGAGTCATTTCTGTTTGTGACCAAGATGCCATACAACTGTTGATGGGCTCTGACTTGGACAATCCTCCCCAAATCCACACATTGAACCCTACTACTCAGGAAAAGCTGAACCAAATAGGTATGTCTCTTCCTATTCAGGGACTCAATTCAGTGGTGCACCTGGTCACTCGGCAAAGGGTTTCTGTTTCGAGACATGACCTAGAACTGCTCTGTGGCTCTCAGGCACCTTTCATAACGAGGCTTTCCAAACCTGTTCGTGATCAACTGCATCCTGTTCCAGGTATTATGTCTCTAAATGCACATTGGCCATAGTCTTGGTAATGAACTTGCTCTTGCATTATCAAACCCTCACATCTAAAGATAAACTTATGAGTTTTCCACATGCTTCAGAAAATCTAATGAAATGGCTAATTATTTTAAGCATCTGCCTGGTGACTTGATATTTTGTGAATTGATGTAGTTTTACTGAGGATATGCACCTTGTTTCCCTTAGAACATGATCCACAGTTCAAGGGATTCATCATACAGGATGTTTTTATTTGAACACAACATAGGGAATATTTTGCCACCTGTAGGTGGAGTTCAGTGAATGCTATAAGGCCCACTGGGTTGCATATCTGCAAGGAAACATACCAGGGATAGGTTTCATCCTTCTAGACATGCAACACGGTGAACTATAAGGCACGCCCTGAACTCCACAAACAGGCAGCAAAAATTTGCCTTTGTTGCATTTAAATATGAACACTCTGTATAATGCCTTCAGCTTCTTTTTTTCTTCCTTTGTTTTCTGGCCATACAAACAACTAAGAAGTGGAGTTTCAATGGCAAGCTCTTTTCATATCTACAGTGCCAATATAAATAGAAAAAGACAATTCATTAATTATTTGGAAGCACAGTGCAATTTATAGAAGTTTTTATTCTCCAGAAGGATTTTCCTAAACTTTGAAGAGGACAAGTTCAACATCCTGCCAGTCATTGTTGACTTACTAGAATTTTGAGAGAAAATATACATATTATATAATTAATCATGGTAAATCATTGTTATAAATTAATATCCAATAAATCCCAAAGAGTTTCCAGTATTCAACCAGTGTTTCATAGAAAAGACAGAAATCTTCAGAAACTAAACTTTGACATGATTATGCCAGAATTTGATTGCATTAGAAACAAGAGGATGGGAGAAAATCTCTATCTCTCCCTTTTTTGCACTCTCTAATAGATCAAGTTCACAAATTTGTATTTGATCCCTCCCCCCATCCTTTTGCTCAGCATTTGTTCTCCCACTTCTTAAGACATTCTTACTCTTATAATTGGAAGTAGCAGTTGACATATGTGAAACTTGAAGGATTCTTACATTCCCAAGAACCTGGCCTCATCCTCACTTGTTTACATTCCCACAGAAACTAGTCCCTGATCATTGTTGGCTTTGGCCTGGTTATGATGGATTTTCCTTTTTCAACAGAAACAGGCAGTGTGGCATTAGTGTATGAGGCTGATGTGGAAGAAGAGGATAAATTGTCTCTCTACATGGTTGGCTGGAAGGGGAAAGCCTCTCTGAAAGTCTACATCTCCAAGAACGACAGAGTTCATTTCCTCCGCCTCATTGGGGCCGATACCTCTAAGTTTGGTCAGTTCATCCTTCTGCCTCTTCCATGTCTCTCCCTTGATGTGTTCAGTGTCAGTATCTTCATACTCACAAGAGAAGCAAAGCCCGTGTTGGATTAAATTGCTAATAAACTTCCACAAATGTTTTTCATGCTGTACCAGTATACAGTGGCTTGGTTGCAAACTCTTACCCTATCCTTATATATGATTGTTGAAGAGATGAGCCTTAGGAAGTCTGCTCAATATAATGTGTACTTGGATTGAGCCTAATGTGACCCCCTTTTCTTGCAGAAAATGACAAGATCGAGGACAAGTTTTGTGGCTCAAAGGATGATGAGGATCAGGGATCTGTGGGCAATGGAGACAATCAAAACGATGCTGACTGATTACTTCTTTGGGAGGAGATGCATGAAATGACTCATTTTTCACTTTTTTGTGCTTTGCATGATGAAATGAAACAAAATGAAGAAAGAACTAAAGATTTCATGGAGACTTTTAATGGGCTTCAACAAAAATGATATTATTTCCTTCTGGTGGATTGGTTTGTCTTGCACATGTAGATCAAGATTCACAAAAAAGGGTACTGTTCTCCAACGGACAATTTTGGCCACTTTCGATGAGTGGGTTATCATTTGAATGCTCTTTTGATGCTGAACGCCCATTTCTACAGCAGATTTTTACTCTGTTTTTGAATTTTGAGTGAATAACCTAAAAATTGAAATTTTCATTTTAAAATTTTTAGCTACAGAACTAGCACCGTCACCTGCTAAACCTCATGGGGAAGTAAGTTTTAATTGTATGCACCCTTTGGGATAAGTTAAACTAAGAACTGACTCAAAGTTGATGAAATACTAGTTTATACAGAAAGAAAATACCTGAAAAAATCCCAAAGCTGCTTAACTGGTGATTTAAGCTCCAGTATTTACTTTCCAAGCCCAAGACACTAGAGCCACGACACCCTTAATTCGTGCCAGAGACCCCAGTTGTCCATCTCTGGCTCTTGCATATTTGTTCCAGTTAGGTTTGTGAGTGGTGGGGATCTCGATCTACTCTAGGAGACCTTCCATGATCCATGAATTAGTAATTAACGCCAAGATTGAGAAGTATCTTAACCCTTTCAGACCTGAATTAACCCTTTTGCACTCAGCCTTTTTTCCAAGTACCTGGCCTAAAACACTCAGGCGAATTTGGCTCAATTTACAAGTCTCACTTCAAAATTTCACCAAAAATACAATATTGGTCAAAGACATATGAAAAAAATCACTCTTATTCACTATAAACAGCAGATTTAAACAAAAATAGCCTACAAGTGCTAACACTATAAATAATTTGAAGAAAAAAAAAAAACAAATATAGAAATGTAAAATTTACATAATTTAGGCAAAAAATAAATTTGTCTTTTTGGTCTTCTTTTCTTGTCACCAAACCTGTAAGAAAGAGAATATTTTTCTGTAAATTTTGATATAAGTTTTATGCATGTAGAGCTCTCTGGTCCGGTACTACATCACATTATGTAAAACAGTACATACGTACCTTTTGCAGTTGGCACCTGTGTTTAGGGAAGCATTTTGAGCCATTTATGTAACTAAAAGAGCATGATTTAGACGGAGCCGATAGATCGGCCGCCTGAGTGTTCTGGCCATTACCTGACGCGCCGATCCATCGGCGCGCTGAGCGTATAAGGGTTAAAGCCACTATCGGAATATCGTTTTTTGCCTTTTTGAGCTCTTTCGTGATAGTAATTGAAATTTTCATGCTTTATATGAAGTTTTTATATTTTGTCTAAACTTACCATATCATACCATATAATATATATTATGCATTTAATTAAATAACTGAAGATTACAAAACTAATGGGTGAAAGGTCTCTGATGGAACTGAACCATGCATAATTGCGCCCGTTGTAGCGTAATATGGAGCGCAAAGTCACAAGAATCCCAAGAAATTGCCATAGACGCAATGTAAATGCAATGTCCATTGGAACGGACGCCAGGTCTGAAAGGGTTAAGGGTCTAAAAAAAAATATCCGATTGTATGTCATTTGCGCAGATTTTCAAGTGACACTTAAATGGAAAAAAAAGGGGTTAAGAGGAATATGATCTATCATATCACCCTAGCAAGCACGTTTTCAAGGAATCTGCGACGCACTTATTCAGATAGTGTGGTTTATTATAATAAAATCCATATAAATATATTAGCACCACGATAAACTGAATCAGAATTTGGCATCGAGGACGCCTAAAACGAAATCGAGAACATCTCGAACGCGAGTGACGATAGCAGGTCGGTCGGACTCGCCGAAACCGACATAACTGGGACCGTAAGTGGAAGCGGAGCAGTCGAAGGTCCAGGAGACGACGCCCTCCAGGGTGAAGGTCGACCTGCGGCCCTTGTAGGGCCGACGAGGGTCTTGGTCGTTGCCAAAGAGAGACCGACCCAAACGCTCCGAGTCTTGGGTGGGTTTTTCTTCTTGAGCGTTGGGGAGTTTGCGAGGGGGGATGCGGAATTTGTGCAGGGGGGGAGTGGTGGTGGAGGAGGGCTGGGGAGTGGTGGAGGAGGGGTGAGGGGTGGTGGAGGAGGGACGACGGGAGTCCACGTCTCGGTACGTCCATCTGTGGGGGTGGTCGTCGTCGTCCAGGAAGGATCTGGCGTCGAGGCCGTATTCGTAGCCGTATTCGTAGTCGAGATATCGAGGGTTGGGATCTGTAAGATTGATCGCTTCTTTCCTTCCTGGGTTGGCGGTCGTGGCGTGGGGGTCGGGGGTGGTGGCGTGTGGGTTCGGGGTGGTGGTAAGGTTGGGGCGCTCGGGGTCCACGGCGCGGGACATGCGTCGGTAGTTGTAGTGGTAGTCGAGATATCGAGGATGGGGTGGTTCCGTGGTTTCGAGAGCGGGATCCTTCCTTGGTTGGGCGGTTGTGACGTGCGGGTTGGGGGTCGTGGCATGGGGATTGGGGGTCGTGGTCGGGTCGGGACGCTTGGGGTCCACGTCGCGGGACATGCGTCTGTAGTTTTCTTCGCTGCCCAGGATCGATCTGCCGTAGTCGTATTCGAAGTCGAGGTATCGAGGGTTGGGATCTCTCGGATCGGGATCAGACTCCTTCCTTGGCTTGGCGGTTGTGACGTGCGGGTCGGGTGTCGTGACGTGGGGATTGGGGGTCGTGGTCGGATCGGGACGCTTGGAGTCCACGTCTCGGTACGTGCGACTGTTGGGGTAATCATCGTCGTCGTACCCGTATCCGACGTCGAAATATCGAGGACGGGGTTCTTCCGTTTGATCGGGAGCAGGATCCTTTCGACCGGGTTCCCTCCCTGGCTGGGCTGTTGTGACGTGGGGGTTAGGAGTTGTGGTCGGGACGGGACGCATGGGATTCATGTCGCGGTTCAGGTCAGGGTTGGAACGACGAGGGCTGCTGTCTTCGTCGTCTTCCTCGTCGGGATCGTCGTCGTCCGGAGAGGGGGTTGTGGAAGTCTGCGGGTCAGACGCGGCCTCCCGCTTCAGTTTGTCCTGACGCTCACACACCACTGGAGATCCCACGTCAGCCTAAGGGAAAACAAGGCAGTAGCGCCGGGCATGGAGAAATCTCGGGACGAAAAAGGGGAGTGGACGACTCACGATGCAAGCTCTGTCTCCACGCTGACCGAAGATGCACTCCTGAGGGCGGATCAACTGGTAAGGCCGGTCGGATGAGAGCTCCCTCTGGCACCACTCCTTCTCCATGCGTTTCACGGCTGCTTCCTGCAGGATCTTGCTGTATTCCCGGGTGTAGAACGTATAGGAATTGGCCTTGAAGCCGCCGTAGCCGCCATAACTGCCATAGCCGCTGTTGCCGTACCCCCCCTGATTGGACCCGTCCGTGATGGTGATGACCTCCGAGATCTCCTTGGTGGGAGCCTGGTGCCACCCCGCCGTGTAGCAGTTTCCCCCCACATAGTCGTACTTGTCCGGCAGACACACCGGCACGATGCTCGGGTACTTGGCAAGGTCCACCGGGCGCTTCAGGACGATGATGGCGACGTCGTACTGCTTCGTCCGGGGGTCGAAGCCCGGGTGCGGGAGTATCCGCTTCACGGAACTCTCGTAGTCGGGGTAGGTCTCCACGCGGTTGTCCGTCTTAATGTCCCAGTCGCCCAGGCGGACCCAGATGCTGGCGTCGCCCAGTCGGTAGACGCAGTTGGCGGCTGTTATCACCGCCCAGTCGCTCAGGAGTGCTCCCGAGCACAGGAATCGCCGTTCTTTACCCTGAAGGAAATTTAAACATTTTTAGATTTATAAAAAAAAAGTTTAAATCATTGCACTTAAATTCGAATATGGACATACCTGGAGGATGGCAGCCATCCAAGGATGAGCCCGATAACCGGCATTGTTCTCGATTGCAGGACCTCCAGAACCACCATAACCGTACCCACTGTCGTTAATTCCCAACTCGGGCCTGTACCCGTATCCACGGTAGTAGCATTCGTATCCCCGGCATTTGTCTCTGTCGTCCCGCCTGGCGACACCGCATCGACGGGTGGTTTTGCTTATAACTCCGCCCCAGCCGTAGGAAACGCTGGGCTTCGAACTGTAACTGTACCCACCGCCGCCATAGCTACTGGAGGACATGGAACCGTAACTGTAGCCGTCGTTACCATAGCCGCTGGAAGGCTTGGTATCGTAGCTACCGCTGCCGCCATAGCTGCTAGGCGGTGTGGAATCGTAGCCACTGTTGTCACCATAGCCGCTAGGTGGTGTGGAATCGTAGCCACCGCTGCTGCCATAGCCGCTAGGTGGTTTGGAATCATAGCCACTGCTGCCACCATAGCCCATTGGTTTGGAATCGAAGCCACTACCGCCGCCACCATAGCCCATAGGTTGTTTGGAATCGTAGCCACTGCTATCGCCATAGCCTATTGGTTTGGAATCGTAGCCGCCATAGCCACTAGGTGGTGTGGAATCATAGCCACTGCTGCCACCATAGCCCATTGGTTTGGAATCGTAGCCACTACCGCCGCCACCATAGCCCATAGGCTGTTTGGAATCATAGCCACCGCTGCCACCATAGTCCATAGGTTTGGAGTCGTAGCCTCCGCCGCCACCACCGTAGCCCATAGGCTGTTTGAAATCATAGCCACCGCTGCCGCCGTAGTCCATAGGTTTGGAGTCGTAGCCTCCGCCGCCACCACCGTAGCCCATAGGCTGTTTGGAATCGTAGCCACCGCCGCCACCATAGTCCATTGGTTTGGAGTCGTAGCCACTGCTGCCACCATTGCCGCCGTAGTTGCCGGAAGGCTTGGAATCGTAATTAACATCGTTGCCGTAGCCGCTGGAAGGCTCGGGACTAGATCCATCGTTGCCATAGCCGCTGGAAGACATGGAGTTGAACCCACCGCCACTATAGCCGCCGGGAGGCATGGGCATGTATCCGTCGTTTCCATAGCCACCGGGGGGCGCGGGGCCATAATCCCCGCCACCCACGGTGGCAGGGGCCAAGGACCCGGCCAGCACAACAAACAGCAACACGGCCTTCATCTGCCCCGGGAACCAATCGCTTACGACTCACGTCGACAAACTCGAACACTCGCACGACATGGAGCAGAACTCACCTTGAGCCGCAGCGTGGCGTCGACGATGGTGCAAGGATAAATGCAGTCGCGGGGCACGACTCAGGGCTTATATACCCACGGCCGGAGCGGACGAACAAGTTTTCCTTCTTGCGAGAATATCGGATTTTAGCCGTCTGGGTTTATGCCTTCGGGCCTTCTCCCTTTCCCTCCTAAGTGGAAAGTACTCCGTGAACACACAATCGGGGATGGAAGCCCTTCCCTACCCGGTTTTGCCCTCGAAAACTGGGGGCCTGTTCCGGCAAGTTCTAATCTAGTCTAAATTTGTAGATTGACTAACTATAGATTTAAGTATTAATCGATGAATCGCACGTATTCTATTGCTTGCCCTTTCTTTCTATGATACAATTAAGATTAAGATTAAGATTTCGTAATGGCGAGAAATAGGCCCCTATTAACACTGCATATCTTCAGATAATTATTAATAATTATCTGAAGATAATGAATGTATTTAATTTAATTCCGACCGACATGACTAACAACTGCCCAAAATTATTAATCAATAACGGGACTCGGGAAACATTCCTGACACATCGACACTGTATTAATAAAAAGGTCAGTATCTCAGCGAACGCTGCAGCTCGCCCTGATCCTCGACCGCCGATCGCATATCGACGCCCAGCCCATCTCCAGATCCGAGCTGAAGAGCCAACCACGGACATCCGGCATCCCTGGTCCAACATCCCTGGTCCATCTATGGCACGCAAGCCTCCCTACCATCCCGCAACTAACAAGGGATTCAAGTCTTTTTGAGCGAGCCTCTCGATCGCGAGAGCTATGTGTCACCCTTTGTCTCCTGGGAGGTTTGCTGTTGCTTTTCCTGATATACGTGGAAGTCCAGGAAGTTCTGAGCAGAGGAATTGGGTGCCTCAAAGAAATCGTTCCGAAGTCAATGACAGCGAGATTCGAGACGCTCATGGTTATTTTGTTTCTTCGTTAAGCGTTTGTCGGCTTTCCTTGCGGTCGATGTGATCGCAGACTGCAGAAAAATAAGCCTAAAGCTTCACGTGTACGAAGCTAACGACGTCAATCGAAGAAATTCATACCAGGCCAATCCTGATTAAATGCACTCTCCCTTCCCAATCGTTCTGACAAGTCCCTCTTCCAGTACAGACCGTAGGTATTCGGTATCGGTCCTGGAAAAACCTGGACGCGTTGGACTCGATGCCGTGAAGTCTTCGATGAACGCGTGTACACTCCGCAGTCATCGTAAAACAGATCAGCGAAGCTATCGCACAAAACGTTATCTGGTTTTCCCAATCAAGCAAAAAGCCCAAGGTCGACGGGAACCGATCTCCATCCCGATAGACATCCCTTTCGAAGGCGATCCTTAAGACAGCCCTGCGATAGAGCTAACTCTGAAATGACCTCGACCTCTACTCAGAGTCCCACGAAGGGGATGGCATCTCCCCCCTGAATGCGATTCTCAGACCCTCCTGCAACGATGCTCACCCGCACCCCACACGGGACTCGTATCGGCATGGGATGGGTGAGGATTACCAGAGGGAAACGGGCCAGACGATGAACCGAGGAAGAGCGAAACAGCTCAAAATCCAAGTTTCTTCTGGCCTATTCAGACGGTTTCGTTTCCCTCCCCGTCTGGCCTTCGCATGCCAGTTTCAATCCGTTCCATTCTAAGCATAGGCCTATAGGCTCGAGTGCGGGAGAGAGATATGAATGAGTTTCTGAATCAGGAGTCAGGAGTCAGGAGAGTTAGTGATATCAAGAGGCATAGAATCCTATTGCATTTGGCCACCGTCGCTTGCGCGTGCGAGGAAAGAATGTAAATGAATGTAAGATCGGAAGGAAATCCAGGCTTGACAGGTGCCCCAGTGAATCCGATTTCCTCTCGAGTGACCTCCGCCATCGAGAACTCTCTTCTTCGAATAGAAGACTTCGATGGAAGTAGAAAGAAAGAAAAAAAAAAAAGAGTTCCTTCCTATCGACCAGGAACTTCCTCGGCGCTTCCATCGCTTCTTAACACTGACGCGATCGAACGAGAGAAATGAGACTCCCTGCTGCTCTGTGCCGATCCCTTCCCGCTACGGAGAAAGGCACAGGGATTTGATTTGGAGATCATCTTGGAGGCCATTCACTTCAAAATACTCGGTTATCGACAGAAGTGATCTACTGGCTTCATCAGCTGAATTTAGTGGAGACGTCCGGATCCAAGGAAAGGGAGCGAAGGGGGGAATATCGGCGTCTGATCTCGAGGCGTTCAGACGGAGGAATTCTTTCGAGAATGAGGGTCTGCATTTGCTTCCTTTTTTTTTTGTCAGGACTCAAACCCAGACGAATACCTCTCTCACAGGTCGAAAGAGTAGATAATCTTCTAACCTGGGCTCCGTCTGGACTCGGGAAAGAAGCGAAGATACATACCTGCCTACGCTCATCGGATCACCTGAATCACACCCACACCTGAGAACCACGCGGAAACCCAGAGCCCTTCGAGACCCACCAAGCGAATGCAGGCTCTTCCCCCCCCTCCTGTCGCTGCATTCCTACCTGCTTCTCCGTCGTCATTTGTTTCCTTCAGACTCGTTTCTTTCACACCATACGGTTTTTTTTTTCAGGATTCAGGATAGTTAGTGATATCAAGAGGCGATTTCGCCCATTTCG